CGCCCCCGAGCCAAGGGGCGGGGACCCACCAGGCTGTTGCGCGATCCGTGGGGAGAGGCCCTGGGCCGGCTCGGCACAAAGGGGAAGGACCCGAGCTGAGGTGGGTCCCTCACGCGGCTGCAAACGCCTCCCTGAGCAGTCCCCCAACTGCGGGGGGGAGGGCCCACGGTGCGAAGGGACCCGGCTCTGAGCAATCAGGCGACAGCGCGTTGGTGCGCCCGCGCCCCAGCCGCTCCCCGAGCCATGCCGAGACGTTGCGGCTCAGTTAGGGCTGGGAACTCGGGTGTCCCGCTTCCTGCCCCGGGCCAGCACTGCCCGCAGGAGACGCTCCCTGAGCAGTCCCCCAACTGCGGGGGGGAGGGCCCACGGTGCGAAGGGACCCGGCTCTGAGCAATCAGGCGACAGCGCGTTGGTGCGCCCGCGCCCCAGCCGCTCCCCGAGCCATGCCGAGACGTTGCGGCTCAGTTAGGGCTGGGAACTCGGGTGTCCCGCTTCCTGCCCCGGGCCAGCACTGCCCGCAGGAGACGCGCACGTGCTGCCCGACTAGGCCTTGCGCAGGAATAGACACCCAGGGAGCCCGGCCGGGCTGACAGCGCTGCCCCGCCTGAGCCCCTCGCTCTGGCTCCCGAGCCTCCCGCATGGGACAGAGGGGACACTGGGACCCCTCCTTGCGGCGGACGCGCTGGACAGCCCCGCGCCCGGCGGGCCGGACTCGGAGGAGACAGACAGACACTGCGGCAAGAGGAGATCCGAACGGGTCGCCGCAGCCCCGCACTTGGATGCGCTTTCGCGAGAGACACTCTCTCTCTGCGCCCAGGGCTGGGAAATTGTCCACGGCCCTTGCTGAAGGCAGGGGTCATCGGAGCCCCTCACGCCCGCGGGTGGAGGTGCAGTCTCGGGCTGTGTGTAAATCTGCTAAAAGCGGAGTCAGACAACAGAGGGCTACGCTTGTTTGGTCTCTGCAGGATTCGCCTTCCGTGCGGCTCCGCGTTTTCTCCGGGCCATTTCTACCCTCTTCCCCGTGTTTTATTCTAGCTGGCAACTCCTGAGGAAAAGTGGGAGCCTAGGGAGAAAAGTACAAAAATTCACACACGTCTGCTTGTCAGCGTGTACATACACACCCCGCACTCTGTCAGGGTGCGTGTACACACTCCGCACTTTGTCAGGCAGGGTGCGTGTAGTATACATTCCTCACTCTGTCAGGGTGCGTGTAAGTACACACTCCGCACTTTGTCAGGGTGCGTGTAGTATACATTCTTCACTCTGTTAGGGTGCGTGTACATACTCCGCACTCTGTCAGGCAGGGTGCGTGTACACACTCCGCACTCTGTCAGGGTGCGTGTACACACTCCGCACTTTCTCAGGCAGGGTGGGTGAACACACTCCGCACTTTGTCAGGCAGGGTGCGTGTAGTATACATTCCTCACTCTGTCAGGGTGCGTGTAAGTACACACTCCGCACTTTGTCAGGGTGCGTGTAGTATACATTCCTCACTCTGTCAGGGTGCGTGTAAGTACACACTCCGCACTTTGTCAGGGTGCGTGTAGTATACATTCCTCACTCTGTCAGGGTGCGTGTAAGTACACACTCCGCACTTTGTCAGGGTGCGTGTAGTATACATTCCTCACTCTGTCAGGGTGCGTGTAAGTACACACTCCGCACTTTGTCAGGGTGCGTGTAGTATACATTCCTCACTCTGTCAGGGTGCGTGTAAGTACACACTCCGCACTTTGTCAGGGTGCGTGTAGTATACATTCCTCACTCTGTCAGGGTGCGTGTAAGTACACACTCCGCACTTTGTCAGGGTGCGTGTAGTATACATTCCTCACTCTGTCAGGGTGCGTGTAAGTACACACTCCGCACTTTGTCAGGGTGCGTGTAGTATACATTCCTCACTCTGTCAGGGTGCGTGTAAGTACACACTCCGCACTTTGTCAGGGTGCGTGTAGTATACATTCCTCACTCTGTCAGGGTGCGTGTAAGTACACACTCCGCACTTTGTCAGGGTGCGTGTAGTATACATTCCTCACTCTGTCAGGGTGCGTGTAAGTACACACTCCGCACTTTGTCAGGGTGCGTGTAGTATACATTCCTCACTCTGTCAGGGTGCGTGTAAGTACACACTCCGCACTTTGTCAGGGTGCGTGTAGTATACATTCCTCACTCTGTCAGGGTGCGTGTAAGTACACACTCCGCACTTTGTCAGGGTGCGTGTAGTATACATTCCTCACTCTGTCAGGGTGCGTGTAAGTACACACTCCGCACTTTGTCAGGGTGCGTGTAGTATACATTCCTCACTCTGTCAGGGTGCGTGTAAGTACACACTCCGCACTTTGTCAGGGTGCGTGTAGTATACATTCCTCACTCTGTCAGGGTGCGTGTAAGTACACACTCCGCACTTTGTCAGGGTGCGTGTCCCCTGCATTGAGCAGCACAAGGCCGGGGTTGAGTGAGGGAAAACGTGCATGGTTTATTTGAAATTCTGTAGCATACACAGACACAAAATTTCATTCCGCGCACACACACAACAAAATTAAATAATCATAAAAAAGGAAACAAAGGCAAATTTCTCTATTAAATAGCAAAGCAAAACAATCTTGCCTTCGAAAGTGCAGTTAAATATTTGCAAAGTAACAAGTTATTTACTAATAACTTCTGATAACCATAGTGAGTTTTCTTTAAGTTACATAATTTAGACCTCTCAAAAATAAAAACTTTCCCCTGGGTCAATGCATCCTGGGGGCGAGGAGAGAGAAACAAACGCACAGAAACGAGTGAATTGTGCAGGAAAAAGAGCTCAGATGCCAAATCCAAGAGTTTTGAGGGTGAGAAGCACGTAGACCAGTTACTTGCACGTTATTAGGCTCATTTCGAGGGGAAATGTCATGAATATGAGATTTAATTATTTGATTGTCAGAGCGTTTTTATAGTGAAACTATATGGACGTTAAATAATTCAAGTAAAACGAAAGCGAAATAAGGTCCCGGTTTTCCAAAGCAACCACGAATCCCTCGATGTGCTGTTTTCCTTTTCTCTTTTTCACCCTTTACTGTTGAGCTGATGAGGTAGAAACAGAAGAGTTATTGCGAAAGGCGCTGGATTGGCAGCTAGATGAGCGGGGAAAGCCAAGTAAACCATGCAAGTGCGCGCGGAGGCAGAGCCCTTCGGGTGAACGCTTGGTCAAGGAGGCGCCCTGCGGCACAGCACCCGGGCTGCCCGCAGGGAGCGCTCCGCAGGGCTATTTACAACCGGAAATACAAAAAGAGCGTTTGGAACGGAGACGAACAAACGTTTGTTCCAGTTTCGTTCAGTTCGTTCCCCTCTGACGTTCCCTGGCCGTCGGGGGGGCGGGGGGAGAGACGCGTCTGGCCGCGCCCGGAGCCTCCAGCCCGGCCTGGGCCCGCAGCAGGACCCCTCGCTTCTGAGGGCTTGGTTAAATGAGTCTCTCCCGGCAGCTCCGTCCTGCCCAGTTCCTGGCTTTGCCCCAGCAGCGGGGGCTGGCGAGGAGAGAGGTCCCCGGGTCGCGGTAAGTTTCCCTTCGGGACGCAGCTGCCTGGCTCGGAGCTGGGGAGACGCGGCAGCTGTGCCCGGCTGACTCGGGGGAGACACGGGAGAGCCTAGCCCCCCCCCCCCCCCCCCCCCCAGCAGGGGTCACAAAGTCTTTGGTTGCAAAACCAGACGCGCACCACGTTCTTCTTCAAGTCCAGCTTCTCGGCGATTGCAGCGATTTTCTCCGAGGAGGGCCGGGGCTGCACCGCGAAATAGGCTTCCAGCGAGCGCTTCTCGGGGGCGGCGATGGAGGTGCGTTTGCGCTTCTTGTGTCATCTCCTCTCTCTGCGCCCGCTCCGCCTCCTCCAGCTCTTTGGTTGCAAAACCAGACGCGCACCACGTTCTTCTTCAAGTCCAGCTTCTCGGCGATTGCAGCGATTTTCTCCGAGGAGGGCCGGGGCTGCACCGCGAAATAGGCTTCCAGCGAGCGCTTCTCGGGGGCGGCGATGGAGGTGCGTTTGCGCTTCTTGTGTCATCTCCTCTCTCTGCGCCCGCTCCGCCTCCTCCAGCCAGGCCTCCAGGATGGGCTTCAGGGCCACCATGTTGTTGTGGGACAAGGTGAGCGACTCGAACCTGCAGATGGTGCTTTGGCTCAGGCAGCCGACGCCCGGAATCTTCAGGTTGGCCAAGGCGGAGCCCACGTCCGCCTGGGTCACCCCCAGTTTGATCCTCCTCTGCTTGAAGCGCTCGGCAAAGGACTCCAGCTCCCGGGGGTCTGTCTCTGTCTCGGGGCCCGCGAGCACGGCGTGCGAGGCCAGGCCGTGCGGGTGGGGCAGGTTCATGGACTGAGGGTGGTGCGCCATGTGGTTCAGCGCTGGCATGTGGGAGTGCGGGTGGGAGGGCGTGGAGCCCACTTCGGGCCCGGGCACGCCCCCCAGCGGGAGGGCAGAGTTGAGGTGGTCCAGGAGCTCTCCCTCCAAGCCCGGCGAGGGCTGGTGGTGCGGGTGGTGCGGGTGGTGCGTGCTCAGCACGGACGGGTGGTGCAGGTGCACGGAGGAGGAGGTGGGCGTGCAGGAGACGCTGCTCATGGTGTGGTAGGTGGCATCTGGCTTGAAGGGATGCGCTTTCTGGGACACAATGTCCACCGCTGCCAGCGCCTCGGCGCCTCTCAGCAGGGTCTCGTCAAAGCCCGCGAAGATGTTTCCTTGGATCTGCGAAACAGACGAAAGGGCCAGACTCGTGTCAAGCAGCCGCTGCTCCGGGGGCACCGGCCCGCGCGGCGGGACCCAAGATCCCATCAGGAGAACGCTTGGTCCAGCCACATGCCCTAAGCCAGGATCCCAGCTGGCCAGACTGCCCAGAAAGTGGAGCGAGCCCATGTCTGTGCTGACTCCAACTAGCTGCTGCGACCCATTCGCCTTGTTTCTTACCCTGGGCGCCCCTAGCCAACTGCCCCCGGAGCCTCCCTCTCCCCGAGCCCCCTGC